CGAGCTGAATGCTATGAAGAACATTGTTGAAGTTGTGGGGGCAAAAGGAGATTTTGTTGGCGCGCCCTTGACTCCGGTCAACAGGAAGGCATTTGAGTCTGCATCTAAATAGAAGACTTTAGCCTTAAATTCGAATAGACCGTAATGGTTCCAATATCAGCAAAGCTGCCGATGAAAGACGCTCTAGAAGCTCCGTGTTGCTTCAATTCGCATCAATAATCGGGCATCGACTCTTCTCTAATTTGTAAAATAGCAAAGTTACTACGGCCTCGCACATCTGCCGTTATCTGCCGTTCGATGAAGGTCCAAGAGGCGCACCACAAGCTGAGCCAAGTGCCGACCGTTTCATCGGCTCTTTTCCGAGGAAATGTCCCATGTGGACGGAAAAGCAGATCATTCAATCACTTCTCCAAGTCTGGTCATCAACTTGCCAATATGTGGCCATCGGCATTCTCACCGATGCTCGGGTGACCCCCCCGGGAGGCTACTTCGAGGGGATTCAGTACCCGCGACCCGTTCTTTCCCCGCAAGCCAAGAATCCGGGGCCCCAACATGGGGAAGCCCCCACGGTTCGATGTAATCCACCGGCGTTCTCGCCGGAACTCGACCAATCCTTGTCATGTTTATGAATTTCCCCAAGCTGTTTGGGCCTTCTGTTAAATACGCTGGGGCTGTGAACATGTTTCGTCTTTCAGACGGAGCAGGTGAACCAGACTTTGCTGGATACAACCCCGAATCCGATCACCAAAATGGCAGACGCGATTCAAGAGCAGAAGTACGAGGCCGAGCACGCTGAGAAGCGTCGCGCTCTCCAGCCTGACGAGCTGCCGCTCCCGCAAGAGTTGGAACGCCTTGGTGGCGACGAGCTGAGGCTACTGGATAGGAGCTTGACGCGGCGGCTGGATTTGACCCTCATGCCCACCGTCTTCATTCTGTTCCTGTTGAATATTCTGTGAGTGATGTGACCTAGAAGCGACGTCCTTGGCACTGACTTCTTGATCAGAGACAGAAATAACATCGCCAGTGCCAAGATCGCAGGAATCACAGATACCCTGAACATGACCAACAACGAGTACAATACTTGCCTTCTCATGTTCTACGTCGGATGTATGGCACTTCTACTAAGTACCTGTTGGTATCCATGATTGACTTCTTTCAGACTGCATTACCCAAGTTCCCTCAAACCTCATCATTGGAAAGGTCCGGCCATCACTTTACATTTGTCTCATCACGTCGCTTTGGGGCATTCTGTCTATGAGCCAAGGATTCGTGAAGAATTTCTCGGAGCTCGCTGCCGTTCGTTTCATTCTGGGACTGGTAGAGGCGCCCTTCCTTCCGGCTGTGTTCGTCCTGATGTCGTGCTGGTACACTCGTAAAGAGCTGCCGCCGAGGATTGCGATTCTGTATGGTGGCAACATGGTCGCGACTGCTTTCTCTGGACTCATTGCGGCTGGGATTATCTCGAGAATGGAAGGCAAAGCAGGAAAGCCCGCATGGGTGAGTCTTTCACAGTTTTCAGAAGGCGCGTCCATACTAATGCGATCCAGGAATGGCTGTTCATCATTGAGGGCGCCATGACAGTGGTCATTGCGCTGTTGCTTCTCCCTCTCCTCACAGATTACCCCCTGCAGAGCAAACATCTCTTCATCTCTCACGACCAGCAGTTGTACGCCGTAAGTTAACGTGCTATCTCTTGGCCTATTTGGCTTGACTGACTGTGAAACAACAGGAGTGGAGAATTCGCAAGGAGAATGCAGGTATCATTGATGAGGACCCAGAGTCCATCTTCTGGGGTCTCAAGCAAGCACTTATCGACCCCAAGCTGTACCTTTTCATCATCCAACAAATGGCTCTCATCACAGCCCAGTCATTCAACAACTTCTTTCCTTCCATCGTCGGAACCCTTGGCTATGGTCGCACAACAACGCTTCTTCTCACTTCGCCGCCTTACTTCTTCGCCTTCATTGTGTCTCTCTGCGTTTCTTTCCACGCTGCGCACAAGGATGAGCGTGGATACCATATCGCGATCCCGATGGTATTTGCCCTCCTCGGCAACATCTTGGTACGTTTCCGTTTCCAAAATTTCCGTTTATCTTCTGTGGAGACAGTTGAGCTAACTGTAAGCAGGCAATGTTCGTCGACTCACTGGGTGGACGCTACTTCTCCATGTTTCTCATGACTGCTGGCTCATATGCACCCTACAACCTCTGCGTTAGCTGGCTATCCGCGTCTCTCCCTCGTCCACGAGCCAAGCGTGCTGCTGCACTTGCCATCGTAAACTTCATGGCCGCCGGTGTTGCACACTTCTACACCAGCTACATGTTTCCGGATAGCCAGAAGCCTCGATACTACGCTGGCGGCGGAGTCATGTCTGGTGCTTGCTTGGTCTGTGTAGGCACCGCGTTGTTTATAAAGTATTATTTAAAGAAGCAGAATGCCAAGTTCGAGGAGGAAGAAAGGGCTGGCAATGTGAGCCACAATCATATCTCGGGCTCAAAGGCTGGACACGGCGGGGAGGGGGTTGTCAGTTTCCGTTATGTGCATTAAATGCTGCACTCGTCTGAATAAATGGACGATGTCATGCCGTTGAAATTTTACTGTTCTTGATTGAATTGCGTGGCTGGAGAGAGCCGTCAATGGTGTAATCAAAGACCGACTTGTTGGTTTTAGTAATTGCGTTTAGACTCCGGATAACCCGTCGGCAAAAGAACAGACGATCGGCTATTTTTTAAGCTTACTCGCCAGGGTCGACCCCGTCCCCAGCATTTCCCCATGGCGGTGCGAAGGGGGACAGGAGCATAGTGGGGAGATTTGTCCACGGCAAACTACCCACATCGGCTGCTTTTGTTTCTTTCGCATGGAGTATTCCGGTCGGTGTCTACCAAGCTCCCGGAGCCAAGAATGTCGGGACAGATGTCGGCGGCAGTGGTGCAAGGGAATAAATACCTATCTCTACCGCCAAGTCCTTCGGCCCCGGTTGGAAGTGGGGATAACATCAAAACTGCTGGCTGGGTTCTTGGCAGTCATCCGTTCAAGTAAACAGGGCCGCGACACTGGGTTTCTGTCGCACATTTGACTGGCAGAGCAGTTTGACACTTCCCCGCACTACCCACCATTGGGATTAACAACGAATTGAAACGATCAGTGAAGAGCCGACGAGCGGTTCAAGGCCACGAGAGCCAAGATTTTAGAATGAGGGCCATGATGCTCGTCATCCGCTCATCGGCGGTATTACACGTCTGCCCAGGCGGTATTTTGGAGGAGAAGATAAGCATGACATTTATTGATTAGACATAGAGTCTGGATGGGAAATGCTGTATAAAGAGGCGACCGTCTACCATGTCTGACTTGGTTTTGAAGTCCTTCCGTCAAGCTCTGTCTTCAAGAACACATAGGACGTCATCGTCAAGTCAGACAGCATGAGTATCAGAGGTCTTTCAAGCAAGCTCATCTTGGCTCTTGGCGCGAGCTCGGCAGCAGCATCTTCTGTCCTGCCCCGCCAGTCCAACAGCTCGAGCCCCGACATCAGCCCGTACTTTCAGTCCATCTCCGACTATGTCGACTCCATTGTCGATGAGTTGTGGCCGATCAACCAGGAGATCCACGACAATCCGGAGCTTGGATATGAGGAGGTGGAAGCACATAAACTGCTGACCGATTTCATGGAGGCTCATGAAGGATGGAACGTGACCAGGTCTATCTACAACATCAGCACTGCCTTCGTAGCTGTCTTCGAGGGAAGCGGAGATGGTCCTATCGTGTCTTTCAATGCCGAATATGGTAAGTGGGCACTCAATTGGAACAATGATCATGTAGATTATGCTGACCCTCGGCTTAGATGCTCTTCCTGGTCTCGGCCATGCGTGCGGCCATAACCTGATCGCGACTGCATCCGTCGGTGGTGCGCTTGCCACCGCTGAGATCATGCGTGCTGAGAGCCTCCCTGGAAAGGTCATTCTGTTCGGAACGCCCGCTGAAGAGAGTAAGATGCATTTTGAAAAGTCGAAATCTGGATACAAAGCTGAACATTCTCAGGTCTCGGCGGCAAGGTCAAGCTTCACGAAGCCGGTGCCTTCACTGATCACAATATCGACATTTCCCTCATTACTCATCCAACCAACGGCGGCGATTCCCCCTACATGATCACCACTTCCACGGACCGTTTTGAAGTTGAGTACTACGGCAAGGAGGCTCATGCTGCTGCCTCCCCTTGGGAGGGTATCAACGCCCAAGACGCCCTCATTGTCGCAAACAACGCCATTGCCCTCCTCCGCCAGCAGACGCGGTCCACCGACAAGATTCACGGCATCATCAGCTCTGCTGGCTCTCGCATCAACGTCATCCCCGCCCTTGCGGAAGCCTCCTTCCAGATCCGTTCCGCAGACAACGTAGCTCTAGAGGAGTGGACCGATCGCGTGATGAAGTGTTTCGAGGCCGGCGCTCTAGCGACTGGCGCCGAGCTGAATCTCACCATGAGGCCGTACGGCTACGACAACATGGTCAGCAACGACCTCTTGGCGAGCTCGTATTCCAAGTACTTCACTGAGCTTGGCGGCGGGGTTCCTGATGCCGAAGTCGACAAGCTGCGTGAGCCCAGTGGAAGCACTGATCAGGGAAACCTGAGCCATGATTTCCCTAGTATCAGCCCGTTCTTTGGCATCACTAACGAGAACGGAAGTGTGCCGGACGGTGGTCCCCACACTGCTGCTTTTGAGGTTGCTGCTGGTAGCAGAGCGGCGTTTGACAAGGCTATCATGGTTGCAAAGGGTATTGCTGGTGTTGCCGTTGATGTGCTGACTGTTGACGGCCTTTTGGACCAGATTAAGGAGGAGTTTGAGGCTACGCAGGAGAAGCGCAGAAGACGTCACGCTATTTTCTAGTTTTGTTTTGACACCAACGATGGATTCTTAATTGTAAAGTTTGGAATTCTTCTTTGACAATGATTGAATACTGTTACATCTCTTTTGGTTGATTCCAACTTCTTCCCGTGTCTCTCGTCATCAATTACCAGTAATAATAGAAGCAGCCTGTTCCGCCATGGCGTACAAAGGTGCCATCAAATGAGCCGCAATGGGGACGGGTAAGACAGACGCATCGACAACCCTTAAGCCTTTCACGCCCTTGACCTTGAGATTGGAGTCGACAACACTGCCCATCGCACAGGTTCCGTGGGGGTGCCATGTAGTGACGCCGCTTTCGGCCAGACGGGAGTGAAGGTACTCGTCAGTATCTTCCAGCGAAACTGGCTCGGTGTTGTCAGGAGCAGTTTCTCCAACAATGTACTCTTTGCCGAAGGCAGTATTTAGCATCAGCTTTGTCATTTGACGGATGCCCTCCCGGTAGACATGACGATCGACCTCCGTGTCGAGATAGTTGAGGTTGATGACGGGACTATCTGCAGGATCAGCAGATGCAAGACTGACGGTTCCGCGAGATGTAGGCAGAAAGGAGACAATGTTGGTGTAGATATGCGAACCGTCCATCGGAATAGAGGGATTGGAGGCACTATAGGCCTGGTAAATGACGAAGTTCTCGAGGAAGGTGCGGTTGGCGCTGAGCAGAGAGTGAGATGCAGCGTCTGGGGCAACTCCTTCATCCTTCTCAATGGCAGAAGCAAGACCAGTCTTACCCAACCCCGTTGATGTCACCCAATCAATAGGGTACCCCGTGCTGAACTCGGGCTGGCTAAAAATTGGGTTACTGGATCCGAGTGCGTAACCATTCTCTGGGCTTCTGAGCTTCCAATATTGGTAAAACGACATGTGGTCAATCAGGTTTCTCCCGACCTCAGGGAGGTCCAATTTCACGCTGATGTTGTGCTTCTCTAATGCTGCCGCTTCATCAATGCCAGACAACATAAGGAGTTGCGGAGAGCGATAGACACCAGCGGCTGAGATAACGTTGTTGGCGAAAATCTGGGTGCCATTTGCAAGCTGGACGCCAGTAGCTTGCAGCTCTCCATCGTCCGCACTACCGGAAAGCAGAACCTTCTCAACAAGTGTCTCGGTGAGAACCTCGATACTGTCGAGAGGATAGACCACAGGGGTCAGCTGACGGATGCCGTCGCGACGAGTCTCGGTCAGCTCAGCGCGCCCGATGTTGTCGCCCACATTGCTGTCGAGGTCTGGGAGCTCAGGAACTCCAAGTTCGTCTCAGCCGCTAGCAACAACATCACGCAAAGGGTACACACGACCGGTCGAAGAGACAGAAGCCACGTGAAGAGGCCCACCGTTACCGTGTTGGGCGGCGTTGTTGCTGTTGAACCAGTCTTCGGCCTTTTTCATGTAAGGCAACTGGTTTTCATAGCTCCAACGCTCGTCGCCGACGAGTTCAGCCCACTCGTCATAGTCTACTCGGGGCCCGCGTGTGTACCCACCTAAGATCGTCAATTGACACTCCGGAAGGTCAAGATGTGCTCTTACAGGAATTGATAGCAGCGCCACCGCCGAGGCCCTTGCCTTGATTGAAAACAAGAGTGCGGTCATTAAGTGCTGCGACTGGTTCGGTCGGGTACTGCCAGTCAAGCTCCCCACCCATGAGATCAGTGGCATTGGTGTATAAGATGTCCGTTCGAGCTCGAGTATCTTCACCGGCTTCGATGAGCAGGATACTCAAAGAGCTGTTGTATTCCAGCATCCGGCTTGAGATGACCGAGCCGGCGAGGCCACCGCCGACAATGTATAATCCCAAACGTTGGACAGCATTGTGACTCCCACACTCGGCTCCCGACTAGATGTGCGAATGGAGAGGGTCCCCGGTGAAGTCAGATCACATGGATGAATCGCGATGGCCACCAAAAAAGAGGACTCGTGAGGGAGCCCTGGTTTTTGTACGAAGACGCGAACCTGCCTACCCTAGTAAACCATCGGTGAGTTGTTCAAATTTCGCATTCAATGCCAAGAAGTAAGCCCACTGGACCGCTTGCCTGAATGATACTCTGAGGGTTCCCCGGGCGCATCTACTGGTGTTGGTAGCTGCTGAGTCTGCAGGCTATGGATCTGCAGCTAGGCTTTAGAAGACGAATATGGATCGTCTTCCGAACCGGATGCTCAGGGTCCGCTTTCTGCATCTACCTTACCTTGCGAAAAGTGACATGGTATTAGAATTCTAGACATTGCTGGTGTTCCGGGCTTCCAAGCAGTAAGCTCCTCCAGATTTCAGGCTGCCGCCCTTACCTACGTGAAGTGCGCACTGAAATGTCTTCTCAAGTTTAATTTGTGACACAGCCCCGTACAAGACTTGGCATGAAGACTTTGGCACTTTGGTTGGGGAGCAGATAATGCAAGTCAGTCCCACACAGCATCATCGCTTGAGGTCATCGTAGGCGATCGTTCGGGGGAGAAAGTGACTGCAGATTTGGTGGTGGAGGGGCGGTATTCTGTGAATCTGTTGACATGTTGATCCGAAGATACTTTCAATTATCCTTACTGAATCAATGACCTTGACATTCAACCCCTGAGAAGCGGTTGCTCAACCTCGATCTGGGCTGAAGCCGATGGCATAGCTCAATCCAATCTCCACTTACCGCCGAAGATTATGGGCCCAGAACTCGTATGACCCACCTGTGATACGACCTTGTGTTGGAAGCTCTTCGTCACGTCAAAAGCATCTGTACCTACGTATTGATATGGGAATGGTTCATTTCAGTTCGAGCAAAATCCTTCAGTGATCAGCGTATGTTAACGCGACAAATATACACAGTCCGATGTTCAATATGGTTGTCTTAATCTGAATTTAGTCAGCGGAGGATTGACCTAGACCATTTTGGGCTCACCGAATATAGGCAGTCATTCTATGTGCGCTAGACCTTTCTAGCACGTTACTAGCTTGAAACACCTTTACGAATAACCTCGAATTCAAACATTTGACATGAGCACGGGCCTTTTGTTGCCGAAGAGTCATAGACTAAATACATTCAGAGCAGCACTACTGCGCACAACTGTGGCAGACACTTGAATACAGCCAGCCCCACGAGGCCTCAGATGAATCACATCAATCACTTGTTGACAACCGCGACTACTCAAACAGACGTATAAGTCTAATATCCCGGAATTCAGAGAATGACGAACTTCGTAGAACAACGTCCAGGGACTTGACACATCTTCTTTGAGCTGCATTCTAGGATTCCTGAGCAAGCCAATCCCCAAGAGCTACACCAATCAGTACCGTTGCCGCCTACCGTAGAAAGATCGTCCGGGTTCCACTTGAATCGAGAATCGACAGCGACGTGTGTGGAATTTTTGGTCAAAGAACCTGCACTGGCATTGCTATTAATCAAGCTCACCGCTTCGATTCTCTTTGTCAACTATTGTCTTGAACAACTAGCGCCACGCTAGCTGTGGGAATTCATAAACGCCTTCATCCCCTCCCACACCGACCGACTGTCCGCATCGTGCGAATTCAGGCCACGCCAATGAAACCAGGATGGCTGATCTCGAATTCTCTGAAGAAGATATCGTTCAGCTGGCTCTCCTTCGTGATGAAGAAACAGACGCTCTCATTGACGCTGGCTTCCTCAGCAACGACCACCGATTATCCTCACCCATGGACGACGTACTCTGCTTTACTTACGAAGAGCTCATACTTCAGGTCACAGCTGGTACTCACTATCCTATCACGGCACCTCTCTTTGACCTCATCAACCTCACCCTCTCGCGCAAGGACATAGATGGCCTTCGTGCTACCCTTCGCTGCGTGATCGAGGAGGCGGCCGAGACGAATTGCGTCCAGAAATGGCTTAATAGGGAAAATAGCACGTACGGAATCTTTGAGGCGACCAAGATGGTCTTGAAGATGGCCCAAGAGACGGATGCTCTGGTAAAGGCGGTACGAAACCGAGCCAACAAAAAAGCCAACGAAACGCAACGCATTCCTTCGGACCAATTTCAACAGAAGGCTGTCCAGGCGATTACTACCAACGAGATCGCCTTGGAGTACCTGGGCAAGTCGGCTAGGGAGATCTGCGAGTCGATTCCCTCGTGTTACCGAGTTCTTCACGCCGAGTGTGTCATCCGGCGCGATCTAGCTGCCCGCTTCGATGCTTGCCGAGGTCGGTTGCGCGAAAAGCTCATCCGCCACCGCAAAAGCCTTCCGAAGTGCTGCGCGAAGCACACCCGTCTCGAGGACAAGCTTGAGCATCTCACACGTCCATACATGACGTTTCATGGCACGCAGCGCCACTTCGTTCCCTCAATCGTCCGTCACGGCTTCCTCAAGCCGGGCTCGCGCGTGCCAAAGGGCGACAAAGGAGGAAACGATGGAAACCTGCACGAGGTCCGTTGTGGGTCAACCTACGGTCGTGGCATCTACAGTTCGCCCAGCGCCGACTTTGCCTTGAGCTACACGGATTCTTGGGCGCGGCCGACGTCGCCGACCGAGTACTTCGGCCTCAAGCTGATTGTGTGCGCCACCATCATGGGTCGCGCGCGACAGATGTTCCGCGGGGACAACTGGCGCTCGCAGTCGGAGCCATACGAGGGTGCTGATTCACACGTGGCGAACCGCGAGCTTGAATACATCGTCTTCGACCCAGCCCAGATCATTCCCATTTATGTGCTGCACCTGGACTGGGGCGCTGACAACGCCGCGCACTTTCAGAATTTGCCGATGGACCCGTACCAGTGGAAGCCCAGGGTCTATGCGACCAATAACAGGATCAACGTGAATGAGGGTTTGGACTCTGCGTACGCAGGCGAGAGACAAAGAGCAAAGCAGGCGGTGTTGGCGAAGGCCTCAAAGTACTTCCCCTACGGATATGGACCAGCGACAGGCGGACGATTTGTGATCGAGGAGGTCGGAGAGGTCTCGGAGGACGAGGAGGACTACGGTGAGTATCAAACCATGAGAGGCACTGAGAATGAAGACAAGACAGGCATGTCTGAAACAAACTTCTGGGGATGGGTGAAGGCGGCGGAAGAGGATGAGGGTGTTATACATACAACGGCGGACGAATACACCGCACAGAGGAAAGGATCTGGATACCGGCCGGAAAACTGGGGTTCAATCAAGAGGGCTAAGCAGGAGGTGGAAGAGGAAGACGATGGTGGCGATTTCAACCTGGATTGGCTTTTATTAGGCCAGGCTTAGGGGAGCGTTGAGCACAAGATATGAAAGCCTCGAGACTGGATGATCATTCCATAATCCACAGCCTTGTTGACATTGTCCTTAAGGAATGATCAGACCCATTTTGCCACGCTGTGGAAGGCATTGTAGTGGGCCCGCGGCGGTTGCTCGACCGCATCGTGATCGGCCTCCTTACCGACGGGCACATTCTTTTGGAGGGGGTGCCAGGCCCCTGTACATAGATCAGACAAAAGCATCTCAGCGCAAATATTCTGCGTTTTTCACGAGCATCGGGGAATTTCTCTAACAAACCTGACACATTGGGTTTATATAGGAACAGCCATTTGCCTGTCGATTACCATAAGCCCGCTGGTGACCTCTACGAGGAGGTCTCCAGATATCCAATCACGGATGAACATCGACTGAGCGTCTTGGCAAGCCAGTCAGTTGCCGTGAGCCGAGCTTCAGGCGATTCAAGTTTGTACGAATTCCACATACTCCAGTTTAATTGGGGGCCCAAAGTTAGTTGTTCATCGATACGTGATTTTGGGCATGTTCGTGGAGTCGTGGTCCAACTCTTCAACCAGAGCAGCTGGTCAAGGAAATGTATCCGCGGAGCTTGGTATACGACGCGTCTTTTGGATCGCTTCCAACGTTACATTCCAACGTTACATTCAAAGCAACAGAAGGGAGTGCTGTCTATGATAGGGCTGGACATTGACGTCGTCAAGATGTGGGACATAGCTTGGCGCGAAACCCACATCACACCAGCTGGCGTGTGAACTGGGACCCAATTCTGAGGGTGTACCTCAGGGCCGGGGTGTCTGCGACTGGGGAACATGGTTGGGCTGAGCAGGCTGAGCGGGAAGGAGACGATGATGAAGAGGGAAGCATGGCGTCGGAGTACTCATGGCACTATCACCCCAAAACTGGCCCTGACAAACCTCTTCGAGAGGTAATTCAGCGTATCCTTGTCGACGACAAGGTCGCCTACAGTCTCGAAGGCGCACCGAAGAGTTACGGAGCCGTATTCCAAATAGAGTTGAATGCGGACAAAGGTCAAACAGCTTGGAGCATGCCGGGCGACGACCTTGGCTCGGCTGAAGAACTGATCAAGCACTGGAAACCCTTTCAAAATAGGCTTCATGGCATGGTCTACAGAACAGCATGTCAGCAGCCTTTTCCACCCACGACGGATGGATCGGTCTTGGCCCGGATAGGATGTAATCAGGGGATGTGGTGGTTGCCTTGGCAGGCGCGGATATTCCCTTCGTGTTGAGACCGGTAGAAGGCGGATACATCCTGGTCGGCGAGTGCTATGTTGAGAGTGTCATGTACGGGGAGTTCAGCTAGGTGGTGAGAAGCGGCCAGGTATTCCACATTCGCTAGGATTTAGTCACAGATGACATGATAAGATCAACACCTTTCCGAAAGAAGATGATGAAGTTGCCACGAAACTCGCCTTGCCGCAATCGGATGGTCCCTCAGCGGGCGACCTGGAGAAGGAAACGATTTTTCTCACATGGGAGAAAGCTCGTAGCGTCAAAACTAGCGTGATCCCACTCGGCTCACTG